AGATCTGAGACTGAGACACACGAAAGTTCTTTCTTGTTAACTCTCACTCAGTCATGTGGCACTTACCTGAGACTGATCACGTGTGTCATTGGTGGCCCCACTGCACTGGCAGCTAATGCTGGTGTAAAGCACTGACATGTTCACCTTTTGTAGTTGGAAGATCCTGGGAAGGTGCCGGCAGTGGCAGCATAATTTGCCAATCTGCCCACATCCTCACATAAAAATGGGGCAAGCAGATCACAAAGCACCCACAGATGATGATAAAAGACTGAATGAGGAGGTGGTACTGAAATTCAGAGTGCAGACGGTGGAGGCAGAATATTGCCGGACAGAGCCTGCCATGGCTGCACGTCTGTGTGGGGAAAGCAGAGCGGAGCAGGGACCCCGCAAATCTGGGGTGAGACTAGGAGAATTCAGCACAGCTGGCTTTGCAGAGAATGGGGTAAAGGGCCTGCAGCCAGCTGTGTCTCTCAGCCTCATGATGAGCAGCCAGGACAGCGTAGCAGAGAGCGCTCAAGGGCGAAGCTACAGAAGCCCAAGGAGATGGAGGACCTGGGTAGAGGTGGGGAGGAGTAGAGCCAGGGAACCTGAGAAAGCAGGTACCTGGCCCTTCCACCAAGTGAGAAGAGGCAGGGTAGGAGACTGGAAGAGAGTACAGGACTAGTGACTTAACCTCAGGGTAAGCCCTAGGAGTGGCAAGGGCAGTCCACACTAAGGGTTAAGGAAAATGAGGGGGGCAATGGTCGATGTCCTTGCCGAAGAGTGCACCCCAGAGCCTACAGGAATAGAGCAACATAACAGGAAGAAAGAACAGCCGAACAGCGCTTCCTGAAATAATCAACAACAGCAGCGAAACAGAATGTAAAACTGTGAATTAAAAGAAGACACTGTACCTAAAGCGAGATCTCAGATGTGTGGCGTTTAGGTGCACTCCAAGGCATTAGAGCTTTCAGTGATAGCAGCCAGTTGTGGCTAAGTTCACTGCTGTTAAAGAGGAATAGGGTGAGTTGGTGGAGTGCTTGCCAACTTGTGCAAGGGCCTGGCCTCCTTCCCTTACACCACAGAAAACAAACAACAAAATATATATTCTCATAAAATTACTGAACCTTAAATACAAAGAAAAGAAAACCCTGGGCCTGTGGACCTGCACTAGTATGGTCCTCTCTGTCCATACGAGGCCACTGAATGTTTGTACTGTGGTTTTCTCATGGTGGCAGGTTGAGATGTAGCATTTTTGAGGTTCTAAAAACTTAGTATGAGAATAGAAAGTATGAAATCTCATTAAATAACTTAAGTCATTACAAGTTGAAATGATAAAATTTGGGCGGCACAGAATTATATTCGTCTCGTCCTCAGTGTGGATCCAGAGGACTTGGCTGAAGGGAATTTCCATGTGAACAGCTCTTGTGAAACTTTTTCTCTTAATCCACTGGGGTGGCTGTCTATATTTCCTTTGCCTTAAGTTAGTCCTTGTACCAAGGCTAGGAGTGCTTGAATGTTCTGGAATAGCCAGCATGCGCAGGCCCCCTTCCTGCCCTCAGGAAGAGGAAGGCTGCTGTAGCCATGGTGCTTTCTGCCCTAGTGCTCAGTGAGACGCCTTGCCTGTGGCTGCTGCACCATGGGCCCAGCCTGGAACCGTCCCTGCACCACCCACAGCACCTTGTGGTGAAGCATCACTCTTTTCATCCTCCAGCTTTTGCTTTCTAGTTTTATATATGTCCTATCAACACAACAGAATTTGTTTTTGTTTACTTTGATTTATCTTTTCTGGATAATTCATTCAAAGGTGAGGCATTAGACCTATAACCACCTGTATTCAAGTAAGTTTCCTTAAGGAAAAAGATTTTTTTTAAATTAAAGCTATTAAAATCATTATTCTATGCAATGAAGTAAAATTTCAGGAAAAGTAAGTAAAGCTTCACTGGCCTGCTAGAAATTTGAAATATAAAGCCAGTGATTACCTGAAAATGTTTAGCAAAGTCAACTCATAAATGTGTATATATTTTCTCTATGTTCTCTTTAGAAGAACAAATACTACATTCAGTATTTCTTTCTCTCAACTTCTATTCTGATACCTGTGTCTCTGGCCAGCCATTAGATTCAGCATTAATATGAAAATTAAATTGTATTGTCTTAGTCCTAAAACCATTTATGTTTCATTGTGTGAGCAAAGAATAATGGAAGAACAAGACCCTGCCCTTCCTTCTGTAGTGACTTGTTTTAAGGCAGAATAGGTGCAAACATTTCATGGACAAACAAACCAAATTAGAAATGAGTTTTTTAAAAAAATATGATTTCATTACTAATGGGCATTAATGGAGATGAACTGCTGCATGGTAGAGTACGCACAGATGAGGTAAATAGCCATTTTGAACTCTGAATTTGTGAATCATCCTGGATTAATATAACCACAATTTTGCATTCTTTTAGATGATGTGTGCTGATATTAAGAAATTACTTATAGTAAAAACATTGTTTTAGTTTCATCTGGATGTGGATGTCTTGTTTCTGTGCCTCTGAAAATCTTGATAATGTCATTTTTATCCACAAAATCTTTTCCTTTATAAATAACATAATTAGGGTCTGCAATTTGTTACTACTACATGTAGTCTATCTAAATTATTACTAATTCTCAAGTAGCAAAGTCTAATGTACTTAGTACTTAACAAATAAGTACTAAACAATACCTGGAGTTGAGAATTTGCTTCTGCAATCTTATTTTCTCCAAGAACACATTATTGGAGTTTTTATTGTACACTTGGAGACCATGAAGTTTCCTGTCTTATTTGTGTGGGCTGTTGCAGGCCAGGGAATGGGAATGCAGAGGATGGAAGGTTTGGGTGGGACCGTTTCCTAGCTTTTTGGTTCTGTGTCTCCCAGCTCGTTCATGAAACTCGGGCCTGGGTGGATATTTGGTTACCTTTCGGAGGCACCAGCACTGCCTTTCCATAGGCCTGGGCAGGCCAATGCATTTCCTAAATGCAGAAAACACCTGGCTCACCCACCATGTCTTGCACTAGAGTGGTGCTTTCTGCGGGTGCCTGTGGCAAGCAAGCACAGCAGGGCCTCCTTGGGAACCTCATGGGAAAGAAGGGTCCCTGCAGCATTGCTGAGTCTGTGTTCTTCACCCAGGTTGCTGGCAGAGAAACATACGGTAACATTTCAGTGATGGATCTTGATTTGATAAAAGAATTCATGTCCATTTTGCCAGTCAGAAGTGATGGCAACCAAGACTTCCCGTTCATGTGCCTGTATATCATGTCTTCTAAAAGGTGGTATCCACCCTCTCCATCACTGGGTCCTGTGGCCTCACGTTCCTCAATAGCATCTGTAGCACTCCATTCACCCCCACTGTCCCCACCTCTACACAGCACAGTGATGTCTCTGGACCCTTCTTCAGCCTGGCTGCACCGATTGTGTCCATCTCTGCCTTGTGGTTGAGGCTCTTACGTATGAACTATGTTAATTGAGAAACTGGGAGCAGAATCTACTTTGGAATCTCATTTTACAGTGTTTCTCAGGATCCCATGATCACTTAAGTGATCTAATCAAGGACAAAGTATAAGAAATACTATCCTTTTTTAATGGCTGTGTTGTTAACTATTTAGGAAATATTGTGTTATCTGTTTTAGTGTGAAAATTAAATTGCAAAAATATTTGTATAAGGTAAAGACAAGGAGCACCTATGCAAAGCAGAAGAAGAGGAAAAAGAAAAGTTTGGTAGCCTGCATTTCATCTATGTCATGGATTTTATTTCTACTTTTATTTTTATGTATCATAGATGGAAAAAGCTAACCCATAGAAGTCAAATGACTTGTTCAGGTTCATTTTAGTAGTTTATCTCTGAGATTTCCTGAGTCCACATTCAGTATTGTTTGCAGTGTGATTCACTGACTTCCCCTACATGGAGAAAGAGTCATTTCACTGGAGACGTTACCTAAGTGCAGCTAATCCCAGAGATGTGGGGATGATTTGAATCAAGAAAGTCTTAGAAAATGGGATGGGTCCAAAAGAGAGCTTACTCTCACCTGAGTCTCTAAGTGCATCCTGTGACTCCAGGAAGAACTCCAGCCCATAATATTACTATATCAGCTGTGTAACAAGTGACCCCAAAGCTCATTATCTCAAAAAGCGTGATTTCTGTTGTACAGCTCCTACCCATTAGGGTCACAGCGTAGTGATATTTCAGCTTCCTCCACTGAGCTGCTTTCAGATCCTTCAGGTGAAGCGTAGTGAAGCGCTCTTCCTGAATGCCGTCAGATTTCTTCTAAAATTTAAATAGACTGTTTCTTAAAAAGGGCATCTTTTTCTCTAACCTTTATTTCACTAAAGAAATAATGATGCTTGATCATAGTATAATCTGTGTGTTCTTTTTCCTTTTTTTAACTTTAAAGTTTTTATTTAATACCAGAATTTTAAAAATCGTGTTTTACAATTCCAGAGCACGTTTCTCATGATCGCTGTACCACTGTAATGCTCCAATTCTGGAAAACAAACTCAGGCATTTGAAAAAAGTAGTATTGTAATTAATGATGGTCTCCATTGGGTTTTGTGGGGTCCAAAATGCTTGATGTGATTTAACCATGTGATTTGTTAACAGTCTCATTCATGACACTGTTGTCCTAGGATTCACTTTTGTTTGGGGAAATTTTCAAGTCTCAGTTCCTGCATGTCCTTCTTAGACCTGATTATAGAAGCAGCTTCCGTGCTGCATGGTGGAAATGGGTCTAGCTGTGCCCCCTTTTTGTGACCTCCTTAATGGGACCTCTGACTGTATGTATTAATGTAGTACAGTGATGAAATATTGCATACAATGTGCAGTGACCAAATCAACCTCATTAGCACTTCCATCTCCTTAAAAATGGATTGTTCCTTAAATATGGATCACTTCTTTTTGAAAAGGATCTATCTAGCATCTAAGTGGATGCATCCAGGTTGCACGTTGCCGTTCGCTCCTTTTTAATGGTGAGTCTTACGTCTTCTTTTATTCTTTTTTGCAGTGTCTCAGTTCGAAACTGAATTCTACATCAGTGGCCTTGCACCTCTCTGTGACCAGCTTGTTGTACTTTCCTATGTGAAGGAGGTTTCTGAAAAGACGGTAATTATTTTCCTCCCTGGTGCAGAGGAACTTGGGGTTCATGTGTAGCATCTCACAAGGTCATGTCACCTAGCGGAGGAGTCTGCTCTTTGTCTTCTGGGCAGAACTTCATGAACCCTGAAAGAAGACTGCAGAGGTAACCCCAGAGACCTGCCGTGTTTTCCTGCAGCTGCTCCCTTCACCACCTGTCTTTGTTCCTATTGTTAAGCAAAGAAGAAAGTCATTTTCTTCCTTTTTTTCCTCCATCAGTCTCTTGGCATTTTAGTAAAAAGGAACGAAGGATTCCTTTTGCTGAAAGGCAGAGAAGCTGAGCTGACACTGCACATTAGTAGAAATGACAGCAGTGAAGTTGATTGGCTGGAACACTGGGGGTCCCTGTGGTCAGAGGGAGTTATGGACAGGCCCGTTCGTTATTTCCTGTGGTCCCCACATGTATGTTTGCTTTGCGGTGGCCTAGTGATTCTGAGTAGCTTGGACATTGCTTTGAAGTGACCTGATGCTAACTCTGAGCTAGCAGCGTGAATGAGCATATATTGGGATGTGTGGCAACAGAGACCACAGATCATCTGGCAGGAAGCCAGCGTCACTCAGCCCAGCAGAGGGCAGGTGAACTTGGCGTCCTGGGAAGGCTTGACGCCAGCCTGCCTGTATTGTTGGAGTGCAGGTGCTGCCAGGAAGGGAATGGCGTGGGCAGCTTCAAGGCACAAACGAGAGTTTTGTTGTAAAGAATTTTCGTTTGGGTGCTGTATATAAAAGAAATTGCAGGTGGTGGTCTGTCCCTTTATGGTAAGTAGGCAAGCGAGTGCTCCTTGTTCTGCTGTCCTCCTTCATTCCCCCACCCCCAAATGACACAGAATAAAATGGGGGAGAAGGGCCCTGGGAGCCCTTGTTTTGAAGTTGTAGCTGCACTCCAGCACTTCCCTGAGCGAGCACTTGTGTTAAGAGCCGTCACTATAGTAACTGGAGCGCTGGGTGCCCATGTTGCTAGGCGATGCAGTGCTGCAGACCTAAGTGAACACTCCAGCCTCCTGAAATCGATAGGGTTGGCTGCTGGGCCTGTTGCAGGACATCAGTTTATTATTATTTTATTTATTTTTTGGAAATAAAGAGCAGCAGTGGCTCCTGAGGGGGTAGATAGAATGCTTTTTGATGAAGAATGTGGGGAAGACTAAGAATGTGATTGAAAGAATTCGAGAAAGAAGCAGTAAAATGAAAAAGGAAAAGTGTAATAAACAACTGACCAAAAAATGAGGATAGAAAAAGGAAACCTTTGTTAATAAAAGAGAGTATTGGAAAGAAATAAAAACCAAAGAAAGGCCAGACCTACAGAGCAAATTAGAAAATAAAATTTTTTCAGAGGAAGAGGTGAAGTTGGTGATGACTTACTATGTTTGTCCCAGTGCATTTAGAAGCTCATTTCACCTACCACCAGAGTACACCTTAGGTCATTACAGAATAAGCTAATAAAAATTTAAGGCAAAAGGAATAGTGGTTGGCTTCAGGCCCTTCCCTCTTTCCCTTTTCCTTTTTTCATATTGAAAAGACATTTAATGCTATTAAATAAAATTTACTTTCCATCATTCAGTATTAGCACTGAAATATTTTCCACGTGATGCGTTTTACAGATGTGCCTGTGTGTGCAGTTCCGGCCCTCACTCTTCCTGCCGCCCACTTTGTGTGTGTTGCTCCTTGGCTCTACATGCATGTGTGACCTGGGCAGTGTTGGCTGTGCACCATTCTGCCTAGTGGATACATCTTAAATTATGAGGCCATCCCCCATGTTTTGCTTTTCTTTCATTTATTAATAACGCAGGTGTGTTACGATTGTCCCAGGCTCTAGGGACCCGTAGTCATTTGGAGCAGAAGCCTGCTGTTGCCAAGTCCATTCCCTCCTGGCAGCCTCTTTAGCCAGGGAGCAAGGGTTGTAAGGTGAGACCAAGGGTTGTAAAATGAGACGAGTCGTGTAGCTGATACTTTTCTTGTTGTCATTCAAAATTTTTTTTTCTACTTTACCACTCTGGTTTTGATGTCATCATATTTATTGTATTCAATTTTTAAATATTTAAATTTTTCAGTTTTGCCTTGCCTTGTTTTTTATCTTTAACACTTGACTTTCTCATTTCTCCATAAATCTGTTAAATTGTATACTATATATTCTGTAGTTTTTTTGCCCTGCTCGCTGACCTTTTGTAGTTGCTGTTTGGAATGTTTTCAGTGGAGATGGGAGCTGACGCAGTTATTTCTCAGTTTTCCTAACAAAACTGATCGGCAAATCAAGGTTTATTGTTTCATTTGGGAAACTCAGAGATCTGTTACAGTTCTGAGGTTTTTTTCAGCATTTGGCTCCCCTCGTCTGTGTCGCCCCAACACCCACATCAGAGTGCTTGAAGTATTGTTATCTTCAACGTGAATTCAAGTGTGCGTTTTATACTTGTCTGCCAAATCATCACAGACCATTAAGGTTTAAAGTAGAACACATTTGCCTTCAAATCTAAGATCCATCTTAAGTCCCAGTTTTTCCAGATCTTTGCTCTTATCTTTGACATATTCACCTTTAACCTTAGTTAATTTTTTGATCCTAATTTATGTGTAACATGGAATAATACTTAACTTTGCAGTGTTCGTTTTAGCATCCAATGAGCAGCTTGTATAGAACACCTGCTGGGTCTGCTGACTCGCCACAGGTTTTCAACAAATGTTAGCTCCTCTTTCCCTCTCTGTCTCCATCTAGAACTTTGCTGTCTTAAGCCAGTTATCAGCTGTGCGTGGCTGCGTATGTTTAGACTCACTAAAATTAAGTAAACTTAAAGATCGGATATCTTGGTCACAGTGCTATCAGCTCCTGTGTTCCAATAGCTGCCTGCATCAGGTGTCTGCCTATTAGTTGGTGCAAATGGAGAGCATCTCCATTGCCTCAGCAAGGTGGATTGAGAGGGTACTGTGGCCTCTTTGGCTTTCCTCACCAGAACAGTGTAGTAGTTTGTGATAATATTTACTTTTCCACACATTCATGTAGAAGAGATACAGTGAAACCATCTAAGTGTCATATCTTTGGCCACTGTTTTCCTGGGATGAAATAGGCTGTGGCATCCACATGTGCCAGGCCTGTGTATCACCCAAAAAAAGTGGGACAGTGTGAGGAGCTGTCCACAACAGGCAGTCAGAAAGGCTTATGTGGTCCAGAATGATGAAGTCAAAGCATGGACACCCACCCTGAATCAAGGGGTATGGCTTACAGCAACGTAATTAACATGAGCCTCTCCCTGTCTTTCTGTCCTAGGAAAGAGAATACTGCGCCAGGCCAAGACTGGACATCATCCAGCCGCTCCCCGAGACTTGTGAGGAGATCTCCTCTGATGCCCTGACAGTCAGGGGCTTCCAGGAGAATGAGTGCCGGGATTACCATTTAGGTGAGTGCCGAGGAAGAGCTGGCTCCTGGGACTTCTTAGGGGATTTGCTGTTCTGTCCTCAACTCACACAAAAGGGAATTTATTTATTTATTTATAGCCTTCACATTAAACTATATCCCTAGCCTTCTTTTTATTTTGAGACACGGTCTCAATTCATTGTTGTACTTAAACTAGATTCAAAGCTGTAATTTTCCTGCCTCAGCCTCCCAGAGTGCTAGGATTTAGCCCTCTTTTTACATTTTATTTTGAGACATGGCCTCAATTCACTGTTGTGCTTAAACTGGATTCAAAGCTATAATATTCTTGCCTCAGCCTCCCAGAGTGCTGGGATTATAGGTATGTGCCACCACATGAGGAATTTAAGTAACAGGGCTGAAAGGATCTCAAAGAATATCTCGGTTGGCCTCCTCTTAGAAACAACAGAGTATCTAGTTCCAGTGATACTGCAGAGCTCGCCCGAGCTCTAATAGCAGAAGGGAAGGTAGACGTGAGATGAGGATAGTGATGAGAACTGGGCTCCTCAGCCTCTATTGCATTGTTTCCATTGTCTAAAGGTTTAAGTAACACTTAAGATGATGTCCAGAGGTGTGACTGTGGTTATTGAATCATCCCAGCTATATCTTTGAGAAAGGTTGTGGTTGTGCTTGGAACTGAGCGCTGAACCCAGGAAGAGCCCTTCAGCCTGACTGGACCTCAGGTGAAGACCAGAGAGGGTGGGTGAATGCACTTACTCACTACTCAAAAACTAAAGAGGATCCCTGTTACTTAGCCATACAAGGATGTGTGTGGTGGAGTATCATTTCCCTGTAAAGTATGTTGGGAAAACAGAATAGTTAGGCTTTTTAGAAATCCTTTCCTATATTAAAAAATCTGACATTTTGTAAGAATATTTTCAGTTCTCATTTTAGCCGAAGAAATGAAGAAATAGTCTATAGCTATTTGAACTTCGTTACACGAAGCTCTTTAATAAGTTGGAGACTGTGAGCATATGTTCCAGACTTGGCAAGAGGCAACTGTGATTTGCCACCCTGTGTCCAGTCTAGGTATTTTGCTCACAGCAAATTTAGCTGCACACTAAGAAACACTTCTGAACAGGTTTTATAATTGAATTCTGCAAGAAACCCTCACCATTGGCATTGTACACACCATGCTGAAATGATAGATTATATCCCCTGGGCCTGTCATTTATGCTTTTGATGGCCTTGACCTGGATGAGAAGGAAACATTTATTGTTGAATGCAGGGTGTAATTGTTCGGTAAAAATAGAAGAGTGTTGTAAATGACCATAAATAAAGTTTACATACAATAGAGGAATTATGACATGCAACAGAAATGGCAAATTTTAAGTACTGTTCTTCATCTGAAGGCAGAGTGTTAATATATTAAGTATAAAATTTTAAAGCCACTTTAGTTTTTTAGGTCTTGTAGTATGTGTTTTCTTTAGCCTCTCCATTTTCCTTCTTCCTTTTTGCCTTCTTTGCTTCCCCTTTCATATAATTTTAAACTTAAATTTTTTGCAAAGCACTGAAGTATATTATATCTGCTTCCCTGGCAGAGGCAAACACACTCACTGCAGAGACAGACAAATTCTTGTTCACCCTGAAGTCAGTAGACTAAGTGGGGCCCTGCAGCCTCTGGCACACTACTGTGGAGGCACCCACTTCTCCTCTTTCCCTCTAGAATACTCCGAAGGGGAATCGCTCTTCTACATCGTGAGTCCGAGGGATGTCGTCGTGGCCAAGGAGCGAGACCAGGATGATCACATCGACTGGCTCCTCGAGAAGAAGAAATATGAAGTAGTTTCGATTTTAATTTCTTCAGGGTATTGCCTTGTCGGGAACAGAGGATAGAAGATTTTTGTAGCAAATCTTACCTTTAGTTGAAGGAGAGCACCAGCACCCCAAGCCAAGAATATATAGGAAGCTTCTTAGTAGCCCTCATAGACATGAAGGAACAGACTACAAGGAGGCCACACGCAGGTTACTGGCTTTCCTGTCAGTGGGGAAAGAGGTAGTAGTAGAAGGAGAAGGATGGGACTTAGATGTGGTCTACTGAAGTTTTCATTGGGAGTTTTTTTTTCAAGGAAGTTAAAGCAGAGCCACTATATTTCTAAGTTACCTATTCAGATATTTTAGTGAAATCATTCCTTTTGTCCTTATTTTGTGCATGAAAGTAAAGCTACCAAATTTACGCTCACTGAGATAATTTGAACTACTAGCTTGGGTAGGATGCTATTGTCTATTCAGTGTGAATCTTGACATTTGAATAAATAATGCTGAAGCATGACTTTGTTTTAAAACAAAAAATTTTTTTCAACTTAGTAGCTGCAAAGATGTTATATTGGGTCAGAAGTGCAAATTACCTGAAAAAGGTGAAGAAGAGAACATTTTTAACCTACATAGTGTTTAGACCAGTGGTGGCGAACCTATGATAACATGTCCCACAGTGGTCTCTTGGTATCATTGAATGCTCTAAGAGGTTCGCCATCACTGGTTTAGACTATAGGTATTAATGTCTGTTCATGGCCTAATTATTACCACATTGCCTTAGACACATTCACAGTCCTTGCTTAAATAAATTTGTTTTATGTTATTATGTTAAGCTGATACTTATAAACTTTCCAAAATAAAAACAAAATAAGAGATTTTCCAAAGCTTTGTTGTAGATGCACAGAAACATATGCTTGTGGTTTACTTCAACTGAAACATGAAGGAAAAGTGGCCCCTTTCCTTTTTCCCTACCTCAGTGTGTCCCTCAAGTGTATGCCATGCAGATTTAGAGTGACAGATGCCTTTGTTGCTTTGAAACTAGGAGATTTTGTTTTGTTTCGATTTGTATACGAAATGTGATTCCAGTGTCCTAATGTGGAGTGAATTCAAATGGAAATGAAAGAAGTCTTCATTTTGGTTGAATGCCTTTGTTTGAATTTGAATTCATGAGTTCATTCAACCATAGCATTAAAAATTCCAGTGCTTTTAAGCAGAAGCTGCAGGAAAATGGGGCTTTATTCATACAGTCCAGAATGTTAAAAATATAATGTAGTGTTTCTAACCACACTATCTTTCTCTCCCATTCTCCCATTCTCTCTCCCTTTTTTTCCACTTCTTTTATCATACTATGTAAATGTAGGAAGCTTTGATGGCAGCTGAAATTAGTCAGAGGAACATTAAAAGACATAAGATTCTGGTAAGTATGCAGCTTTATTTTCTATTTGACACATAATTCTTTTAATGAGTTCTGATGAGACTGAAAGTAATCTGAGAAGAACAGATTCCTCTCAGCCTTTACTTCAAACTAATTCTCTAACCTGTGAGGTCAGAATATTTAATCTCATTAAATAAGTTTCTACTTGTAAACAAGAAACTCGAACACCTGCTAGGAGATATTTTAGATAATTTGGAAATTGTATTTGCGAAATATACATCCAGTACAAAGTTTTCCAGTTATGTGTGTAGAAGTTTTTTTAAATCACGGCTTAAATCATATTATCACAGATTTATTAAAAGAATGGCCTTGTAAAACTGGGTTGCTTTAGTGTTTCCTTTTTTTTTTTTTTTTTTCTGGTGGTAGCAGGGATTGAACTCAGGCCCTTGCACTTGCAGACAAGAGCTTATTCTACTGAGCCATCTCCATTATAGCAAACTGATTGATTTTGTTACAGAGACTAATCTAGGCATCAGTTACGTTTCTGTTACATTTTGGACTTTAGAAAAATACAGTAACTGACATCCTGTCTCTTTGCTAACTGACATTGAATGTACAGATGGAAAGCAGACAGAAATCATGTCCTCTGCCTGAGGAGGGTCCTCAGAGATCAACTCGATAGTGCCGTTATTTACAGATGAGAACTGTAAACTTAATGTTTATGATGGTTTGAGTTTCAGCTCAACTTCCTTTTTCCTGCACTTTCCCCACTCTGTTAATATTTTTCATACATGTTTTGTATTTAAAAAAAGAAAAGCATAATTACCACAAATTACAAAGGACTAAAGCAGGACTCGAATAGTAAATAAATCACTTCAGCCTGCGAAGCATTATAACACAAGCTCATTCAAGTATTTTACATTTTTTTGTCCTTTTAAGTGTGATATCCTAGCACTTGAAAATGTACTAGAGTGTGAAGTGGAACCCTCTGCAGAGCTCCTTTCATAGCTCCAGTTCCCCGAGTAGCTCCGTTCCAATAATGCAGGAGTGGAAAGGAGAGAAAGTCAGAGTGTCCTTGATGGCTCTGTCAGAGATGTGGAGAACAAGCGGGAATTCTTCAGAAATGGAAGCGAAGCATAGCAGCCCTTTAGTGCAAAGTGTGAAGGGCACATGGGAGAAGGATGTGGCTTGCTCTTCTGGAGCGGGGGACATTGGGGAGATTCCTGGGGACAAATTTGGGCAGCCAGGCCCAAATCCTGAATGCAGTTAGGAGTCCAGTTCTATTGGGAACTTGTGGAAGTTTATGCTGTCATTTCCACACTTTAGGTGTCCGTGTTGAGATTCTGTGAGGGAGGCTGGCTCAGAGTAGTTCAGCCAGGGGGCTTCTGGGCAGTGTTGGTTGAGACTGACTGCGTGACATCAGCCAGGATGAGGATGTCCTGGTGGAGCCCAGGCTAGAAATTTAAATCAAAATAGATTCAGTAGTGTTACCTACAAACAAATGTTGGTGGAATACTTCAGTATTAAAGAACAGAGGAACTTGTGGGATGCTGTCATTCAAGAAATGATGCATATAAAAGTTTGGGACCAGTCTGGGGACAGGTGTGTTGTGGGAGCTGAGAGAACATTCAAGTAAAGAACAGATGCTTCCATTGTTGCGGTAAGCAGGTCTCCAAGTCCAGAGAAGTGCAGGGTACACCAGACTTGCCAATGTGAAAGGAGAGCATTTTCCATTTATGTGTTATTTACGCTCCACATGCTGTACTGAGTGAAAAGTGAATAAAAATGGTAGAGTTCATGGATGATCAGGATAGCTGTGACAGGAAAGATGGTAGCTGGTGGCTGTGGCATCCTGGCATGGTTATTGATCTGCACTTTGTGTAAGAGGGACACTGAAGCATGCTTGTGCCCAGAGAAGAGAAGGATAGCCAGGTTAACGGAAACGTGTGTAGAGAGGAGGACCTCAGGAGGAGTGGCACAGCACGGAGGGGCAGATGGGAGGAGAAAGAGTTGAAGGATTGGCTCTGACACCTGACTGAAAAACCCACCAGACACTGAGGTACATGGCTGGTTTTCAATGAAATAGGAGTGAGACACCCTGTCTTCACTTGGGTTCTGGTGGATTTCAAGTATAATTTCTTATATAGGATTCAGAAAAGAAAAAAAATCAATGAATTAAAAACTTTTCTCCCACTGCAATGAAGCTACTATTATGCACAGATTTCTTTTCTTCTTACATAATGTAATCCCATACCAGGCATGCAGAGAAAAAATAGGCTCCCACCTTTCCTATATCCAGGAGGACATTCATATAAAACTTTCTGTTCATAAGATAAAAGATAAAATCTAAGTTTTATTATATATCCTGAGTTTAAGCTTCTAATGAAACTGCTTTCAGGTGGCACTATATTTATTTCCTAAGAAGAGGCCCAGGGACATTGCACTGGCCTCATGTTTGGGGCTACTGGCCATCCCAGGTCTTTCCAGTACCAAGGAGGAATGGGCAGATCATCATGAATGCTCTGAACCCAGTCAGTTCCCTGCTTCCAGCCTAATTTCTTCATCTGAGGATTTATGGGTTTAAATTACTTGTTTCTCATAGTTCATTTTCATGTTAGTATTTCACATTTTCCTTTAACACAATGGGCTGTCCTTTCATTTTTTTTATATATATATCTTTAGACTTGGGACAGAAGAGACAGGTAGCTTGTATTTTGTAGATAAAGGCTAAGGAAACAGAATTTTCTATTTGATAATATGGAGTTGTTAGTTGGAGTTCTAATATCGCAGATTTGAAATCTTTCACAGCAAAATAGGAATTTTTATTTTAGTATTTAAAACGTTTTATTTATTCATTTTTACATAGAATCTTTTAAAGTAACACTTTATTGCTCAAGAACTATGAATTCTAAAATGTATAGAAAAGCAAATACATTGAATATGAAAATGATGAAGGAAGACATAAGCATGGTTACATATAGCACTCTTAAGACTTATAACCTGGTTGCCATCAATGGGACCAGTGGTACTCTAACATCACAGTCTGTTCAAGGGCTGCAGCTCTCCAGCCATCCCTTGAATCATGAAATTCTTTCATCTGATTTTCCCTAGGACATTGGACTAGCGTACATAAATCATCTGGTGCAGAGGGGAGAATATGACGTGGCAGCACGGTAATAGACGTTTTCATGACTACTTATTAATATAAACAGCATTGGCCAGTGTTAACAATAGTAAACCATTCTTCACAGCTTACAGACATTTTCTTGGCTTTTTTTTTTCTATCTTTCTAACAAGGGTAATTTCTGCATATTGGTGGTTTTAATTAGACTAAGTTGTTTTTACCATGTCTGTGACTACTGTCTCACATTCACCAGAGGACAGTTGTTTTTCTCATTATTTAATGAGATGAATGCCAAGAACCATGAAGGTGCTGAGATTTTCCCTGCTTCCAAGCTAGCAGGTTAGCATGCTAGTGTCTTGGAGCTACAGGAGAGTTGGGACTTGAGGGTCAGAGCTGAAGCGCTGTATAGCAGGTGTGGTGACCAGAGTACTGCCATGCCCATGTGGTGACCAGAGTGTCAGTGTGCACCTGGGCTCCCAGCCCCAGGTCCCACAGCATGGCACAGGGATGGGGCCCTGCCTTTGCATCGAGTTGAGTTACAGGAGTGGAACCAGAGCTTGGGGTGTCTTTTCTAATGGGTCCATGTTACCTTCCTTGTACCGTACAGTAAGCGACCTGCGCTCTGCCCTGCACACAGACCACATTATATTCTCTGACGTCTAGAGTTCTTTGCACATAAGCTTCTTCTGAAAGTAATTTGAAAGAAAGTGTCTCTCCTCACACTGCAGGAAGATTTGTTTCCCAACAGGAGAGCTGCAGGCACATGGCAGTGAAGCTTCAGGGAGTTAGTGGACAGAAAACACAGTGGTCCTGTGTCTTGTGTGAGGATCTCCTTTGGAGCTATGCACAGCCCAACGATAACGTGACTGTGGCCATCCCGAAGTGTGACCTTCAGGCCTGCCTCCGCCCTTGAGTACATTTTAAGGAAATGTGTTTCTTTAATGTTCCATTCACACATAAACAGTCCTCCAGATTGTTCAGTGGGCTAAGGAGCTAATGTCCTAAAGTTGGGTTTTTAAAGCCACTCAGGAAAGGCCAGGCACTTTGTGGTGTTCAGTTAGTTTTCAAGTCAAGAAGGCCCCCAAGCAGTGCTCAAGTGGATAAATAGAAAGCTTGGAACAGGAAAGTCATTGGGAAAGCCCTAGTCCTAGTCTTCTGAAAGAGTCTCCTAAGTGTTCTGTATGCTTTTTATGCTCAGTATTTGTTCATTGACACAAAATAGAAATTTGTGAGAACTCAGTAGAGAGATTTATCAAAGCCACTAGGGAAAATAGCCATTTATTCTATTTATTTTTAATTCTTTCTCTCCGGAATATTTTTACTGCCAGGAAGTGCCAGAAAATTCTTGGGAAAAATGCAGCACTCTGGGAATATGAAGTTTATAAATTTAAAGAAATTGGACAGCTTAAGGTAAGCAAGAGTTTAACTTTTAACTCTTTAACGTTTGCATATGGTACATTTAGGTGGAAATAAAATAAAGGTAGTGGTAGTTCTTTATTGGGAAGTATCTCAGCAGGAAGGGAAAATCAAACTTTTAGAAACTAGTTTCCAAGTGTAAACCAGAGTCTTAGGTACTTTTCTCGTCACTGGAGCAAAATGTCGGCCACCAACACTTGAGGAGGAAAGGGTTGTTTGGCCACAGAGGTTCCTAGTTAGCTGGCTCCACAGCCAGGCTGTGTGGCAGGGAGGCATTGCAGAGGAGAAGCAGTCTGTGGCAGGCGGAAGGCAGGCAGGACAAGCAACAAGGGCCAGGTCTTTTTTCTGTCCCTTATATCTTATCCAGACTACTCGCCTCTAGGCAGGTAACACTCGCACCCTTAGTCCTAGCATTGCAACATGACTCAATCCCAGTGGCACACACTCCAGCCAGCCACTTGGGAAGATCCCCACTCATGACCGTGTGAGGCTTTTGTGACATCTAAACACAAGCTGTAGCAGCCTCGTTCATACCTTTTGTATGTGTCTAAATATATTACCTTTATTGTGTGTTCGCTTTTTGCATCTGCAGTCCTCTCTGGATTTAGGTGAAGTTTTTATGTTGTTTTTTAAAATTGACTTTGGAAAACAAGTGCAGTTTCATTCAGTAGACTGTAACAAACATAAACTTTTTTTCAAATTTGCTGAAAAATTAATACATTTTTTAAACTGTCATTTACTAGGAAATAAAATTTGAATATGTGGTTCTAATAATTTTGTTATTTCATATTTTAAAATATTTTAAACCTAGTACACAGTGTTCAGATCAGTCAGTAAGGTATTCCTGGGCCGCAGAGATAGCTCAGTCATCTAATCGCCTGCCTAGGCAAGCATAAGGACCCCGGCCTGATCCCTGGTACCATGCACTGTACCTTCCCCCATGCCAAGCCAGCTGCCGAGACCAGGCATGGTGGTGCACTCCTGTAATCCCACTGCTGGGGAGGCTGAAACGAGGATAGCCATGAGTCTGAGCTACATAGTGAGAATCTGTACCAAATACATAAAATAAATATAAAAAAATAAGGTATCCCTGTATTTGTTAAAAGCAACTTATAATTTTTAATATGTGTAAACTTTTGAGTGAATTTTAGAATCATGGATATATTTTTGGGCAATGAGGTTTAAACCCAAGGCCTTCACCCAGAGCTACATCCCCATCCTGTTTTATTTATGTGTTTATTTGAAAGAATCTAAGTCACTAAATTGCCCAGTCTGGATTTAAACTTGAAGTTCTCAGACCAGAGATATAATAGCTCAGCAGCACAAGTGCCTGCCTGGCAAGCAAAAGGTCCTGGGTTTGATTCCCACTACCAAAGAAAAGTAAATAAATAAAACAAACCTGCAGTTCTCCTGCCTTAGCCTCCCAGAGTGCTGGGATTACAGGGACCACAATTCCTAGTTCCCAACCCTTTTTGTTGGGGTGGGGTAGGTGCTGGGCATTGCCTGCCCGGCACTTATGCCACTAAGCTACCTCCCCAGCCCTTTTGTTTGAACAGTTGTCTCACCAATCCGTAAATTGCCCAGGCTGGCTGCAAATGTGAATGTAGTTTATTAAAGCCTCGGTTATTCTCATTGGACTTTTGGGCTGCTGCTGGAATGTTTTCTCCAGCCCCGTGAGACTGTTTACCTGGTGGCTGCGTGACCCAGACATCTCTTCATGTGTGTGCTTCGGCCGTTACTGTGTGCCTATTGCTGATCCTGATAGTGCAAATTATTGTGAGTCTTTTTCTTTCCCCAGGTTGATTGTTCTCCTTTGAATTTGTCTTTATGACATGTAACACACCCGTTCTCCCATGCTTGTGCCTCAGGCTCTGAGACTCGGCTCATTGTTCCTTTCAGCCTCGGTTCTTCTCACTCTGACTCTGTCAGAACCAATTGGGCCTCTTGCCATATTTTTAGTGTTTGTTCACAGTACATCGTAGCTGTGTCCCCATCTCTTGCCTGTCCACCCACCCCTTCTCTCTGGGGCTGTGATGGGGCATTTGCATAAGTCTAGGGACAACCTAGCTGAAGTTACCTATCTGAAGGCTGAGTCTGGACTGCTGTTCTTCTGTTCAGTTGCTTTCCTCCTGTGCACAAAATAAAATTGGAATTCCTAGACCCAGTCCTAGCCCAGGTCCAGTGAGTGTGTGGAGAGCTTCCTGCTACCCTGCGCCGGCGGGACCAGTCCCAGCCCAGGCGCAGCGTGGGCCGGAC